TAATAGAAAGAAAAATCAGTCAGGACACATGAGAGACAGGTCAATAATGATTAATGATGAGGATCATTGTCTTAATCCTGATTTCCCCTTCATACACATTATTAAGTGCCTACATTATTCAGGCCATATTAGCTTCCGGGGATATGAGGAGGCATAGGAATCATTAACTGTGTCTTGGCTAATAGTCCAGAAATGAACATGGGAATGCAGCTATTTCTTTGACATGTTGATTTTGTTTTCTTTGCGCACCCAGAAGTAAGACTGTTAGGTCGTGTGGTGGTTCTATTTTTAATATTTTGAAGAACCTCTATACTGTTTTCCATAATGGCTGTACTGCTTTACATTCCCACCAACAGTGCAAAAGGATCTCCTTTTTTTCCATATAAAAAGAAGAAAATCCTGCTACTTGTGACAGTATGGTTGAAATTTGAAAGGTATTATGCTAGGTGAAATAAGTCAAGCAAAGAAAGAAAAATACTACATGATTTCATTTACCTGTGGAATCTAAAAAAGTCACTTATAGAAACAGAGTTGAATAGGGAATGTGAAAGCCTGAAATGCAAGACGGTGATCTGTGTATAGCATGGTGACTACGGTTAATAATACTGTGTACTTATTAACTTGAAATTTTCTAAACTCTATACTTAAATTTTCCAAGTAGATGTTAAATGTTCTCACCAGAAAAGTAATTATTTGAAGTGATGGTCAATCACATCATATTCTGTGTGTGTCTCTCCACTTCTTCATTATTGTCTTATAGAAAGTATATTTTTTTAGAGTTTCACTTTTCTTTGGCAGAGTTTGTTTATAAATTCTGCCAAAGTAATTCTCTCTTCCTTTATCCATAATTGTTTTTCCCTTAACTTCTAGCAACCTCTTCTTTCCAAAACTTCTTAGGAAATTTCTTTAAAGTCCATATTACTTCATCTCCATAAATGGTTCCTTTCTGTCAAAGATAATTAACATCAGAGGGCGTTAATTCCACTTCTTGTTTCTTTTACAGTTTGAGAGAAAATAGTCATCAGGCCAAATCAAAGTTTAGTCAGATTATTTTCTATTAGTGTGGAGCTTTGCTATGTTTATAACAAACAACTTTCTGTGTTAGGTATGTAATGCCACCTATTTATATTTTTTGCTCATTCATTTCTTCATTCATTCACTTAATTAAATGCCAAATAATTTCCAAGCAAACTCTAGAGTTAAACTTTTTCACTCTGTCCTTTGGTACAAAAGGAGATACTTTCTCTTCTTTTGACAGTTTAAGAAGACTTATTTTTATTCAAATATGCAAATAAACTAAAATTTGCTAAAATTTACTGAAAATAAACATTTATTTTTTGTTGTTGTTGTTTGCTGCTTTGTAGATACACCCAGAGGCATTGAGTACATTTTTATAAATAAAAAGTAAGTCTGTGGGATTTTGATATCAGCCTAGACAATTGCCAACTATAACACACACATCTGGTAGAAGGGGCGATTTCTCTTTAACTGTAGGCATCTCTTATTTAGTTTAAAATGAAAATAAATTTATGAATATTGCCACCTGAGAACTTGTGTTTTAGAATATTAGACTAAATTTCATGATGTTAAATTTCCTTCACTAATGTGTTTGTCTTTTTCAAAGCATTCTATATACATTAATGAAATAAAAGGTTGTACTCGATGAACAATGCAGAAAAATATTATTTGATATTTCAAAATATGTATAAAATATTTATTTTATAAACTTTGGAATTGTTGCACACAAAAATATTAAATAAAATATGGGTTTTCATATGATCATCTCGATTGATGCAGAAAAAGCATTTGATAAAATCCAGCATCTCATTATGATAAAAACCCTGAACAACATAGGCATGGAATGGACTTAACTCAAAGTAATAAAAGTCATACATGACAAACTCCCAGCCAACATCATATGACATACGAAAAAGTTGAAAGCATTCCCCTTGAGAACTGGAACAAGAGAAGGATGCTCACTCACTTGCATCACTTCTCTTCAACATAGTACTGGAAGTCTTAGCCAGAGCAATCAGAAAAGAGAAATAAATAAAGCGCATCCAAAAAAGGGAAAAAAGGAAGTCAAACCGTTACTATTCACTGATGATATGATCTAGAAAACTCTGAAGTCTCATCCAAAAAGCCCTTAGATCTGATAAATGAATTCAGTGAAGTTTCAGGATATCAAATCAATGTACACAAATCAGTAGCACTACTATACAGCAACTACCAAACTGAGAATCAAATCAAGAACTCATTTCCTTTTACAACAGCTGAAAAAACAAACAAACAAATAAACAACAACAACAACAACAGCAAAACCTTAGGAATATACTTAGCCAAGTATATTGTAAATATCTCTACAAGGAAAATTACAAAACACTGCTGAAAGAAATCATAGAAGACACAAGCAAGTGGAAACACATTCCATGCTCATGGATGAGAAGAATCAATATTGTGAAAATGACCATACTGCCAAAAGAAATCTACAGATTCAATGCAATTCCCATCAAACTACCACCATCATTTTTCACAGCACCCCCCCAAAAAATCCTAAAATTCAAATGAAACAGAAAGAGCCCACATAGCCAAAGCAAGACTAAGCAAAAAGAACAAATCTGGAACATCACATTACCTGACTTCAAACTATAGAATAGACCATTAGTTTCATCCATTTCTCTATTATTTTAAAATATTCAATGATGCTGTCATATTATTGATAAATAGCAAAATCTTAAACTAAAAGTTCATTTAGTTTAAAACATTTACTAATATGTGTTATGTATTCACTTATACAACACACATATATAAAATTTTACGCCAGTTTTTAGAGTTATACATATATAACCATTGCATGTTATTCATATGTAACAGCTATACATACATAAGAGTTATAGTTTATGCCAGTTATAAATATATAACACACATATAAAATGCTTTTTTAAAGAGAAGATAACACTGCATTTTACTTTGGATAATATTTCATCTTAAGGAAAGTACAAATATATTTTTTTACTATCATTTCGTCAAGATCCCATTTGTCTCACTATCCATATATTATCTAGTTCTTTGTTGCTAGATCATATAGTAGATCAAATAAGCCTTGAAAACAGAATTAATAAATATTTTGTAGAATAAAACAAGGGCATGAGCCTATGCTAGATAACCAATTACCTTGTTACTATAAAGTTATCATCCAATAATTTGTAAACTTAAAAAGCAATCTATGTACATACAAAGTTTATATTTTAGGCAATAATTTGTCTTGTATATTCTACATTACATCAATAATGATCCAAGGGAAATTATTTCATGAGACTTGGAATTTTAGTATATTCTAAAATGTTATTTAAGGAAAAACTTAATAATGACTGCTATTTTCCATATAATGGAAAAAATAAGACAAAATATGTTCAACCTTATTTGTCCACCTGCTTAATATATGGGAACAAATGGAAATCTAAATCAAATTATAATAGGTAATCTTTATTATGCATGTATTTTTTCACTCCAAAAGAGCATTGTTAGGAGGAGGAATCTATAGTAAATAAGTCAATTGCAAACATTAGTTTCACAGACTTGTTTAAACTGATAATAAACTCTACCATCTCATGAGCTCAAAAACTTTCTGATCTTAATCCAAGATTGAGCTGCGTGATGGTTACTATTAAGTGTCAACTTGATTGGATTGAAGAATAAAAAGTAGCGTTCCTGGGTGTGCCTGTGAGGGTGTTGCCAAAGGAGGTTAACATTTGAGTCAGTTTTTATATAACTCAATTTTTTTATCCATTTATCCAGCAATATCCCCTTAGGTTGTTTCTTTATCTTGGCTACCATGAAAAATGCTGCAACAGACATGGGAATACAACTATTTCTATGAAGTACTGACTTTATTTCCATTGGGTATACACCTGGAAAAAGAGTGCTGGTTTATATAATTATATTTACAATTATTAAAAACAATTTTATTTTAATTTTTTGAGGATTCTCCATGCAATTTTCTATAATGGCTTTACCAACTTCTATTTTTACCAACAGTGTAAAAGGGTTTCCTTTTCTCCACACTTGTAGTTTTTATAATAGCAACCCTAATAGGTTTGAAGTGATATTTATTGTTTTTTTATTTGTGTTTCCCTAATAATTAGTAAGGTTGAGCACATTTTTATATACCTGTTGGACATTTGTATATCTTTTTTAAAAACTGTCTGTTCAGAACCTTTTCTAATTTTTAATTTTTTCTATTGAGTGTTGTATTAGTCTGTTTTTCCACTGCTAATAAATACCGGAGACTGAGTAACTTATAAGGAAAGAGGTTTAATTGACTCACAGTTCCACATGACTGGGGAGGCCTCAGGAAATTCATAATCATGGTGGAAGGAAAAGCAAACACATCCTGGACACAGCCAAACCATATAAAGCAGGTACTCTCTTCTTACATATTTTGAGTATTAACTTTTTATAAGATATATGGTTTACAAATATTTTCTCCTGATCGTCCAGCTTTTCATTTTGTTGGCTGCTTCCTTTGCTGCTGATTTCTTAATTATACATAGACCCATTTGTTTATTTTTCCTTTTTTTGCCTGAGCTTCTGATATAATGTCCAAAATATCATTGCCAAGACCAACATCAAGGAGCTTTTTCCCTATATTTTATTCTATGAGTTTTAAGATTTTAGTTATTGTGTTTAGGTCTTTATTTTGAGTAGACTTTTGTGTATAGTGTAAGGTAATAATTAAATTTTTTCTTTTACATGTGAATATCCAGTTTTCCCAATACCATCTACTGAAAAGACTATTATTTCTTTATTGTGTCTTGGTGACCTTGTGAAAAATTAGCTGACTATATATCCTTGGGTTTATTAACAGGCTTTCTATTGTATTCCACTGTTCTATATGTCTGTTTTTATGCCAGTATTCTACTCTTTTTGTAATGTGTTGTTTTCACTTACTCACTGGACAAATGACTAGTTATTTTATTTTTATGTATTTATTTATTTAGTGTCGCTTTGTCACTCAGGCTGGAGTGCAATGGTGCAATCTTGGCTCAGTGCAATCTCTGCCTCCCAGGTTCAGGTGATTCTTCTGCCTCAGCCTCCTGAATAACTGGGACTACAGGCATGCGCCACCACATGCAGCTAATTTTTGTATTTTTAGTAGAGATGGGGTTTCACCATATTGGTCAGGCTGGTCTCGAATTCCTGACCTCGTGATCTGCCCACCTCAGCCTCCGAAAGTGCTGGGATTACAGGCAAGTTAATTTTTTAAGAAAATATTTATGCATGTGCATGATTTCCAGATAGCACGAAGACTCCTTTTTATAGGTACAATTATTACTCTCAGGGATTAGGTGTAGTTACATACCTACTTTTCTGAGGATGCTCATTAGAAAGAGATACTAGTATAGCCAGGGTGAAACGCTCTCAGAGCTGCCTTCAAAATGAAACAGGTTAAAGTCAGAGACTCTCAGTCCATTTGCTGATGTATGGAAACACTGGTGGCTTCACTCATGCTGCTGCTATAGCATGCCCTCTTTTCTTCCCTAAATCTTGGGAAATGCTTTGCCTGTTTTTCTGCGTTCATCTTGGGTGATCATAGCTCTTTTCTCTTGATACAATTAGCCAACAGCCTAAAAGAAAAAGCCAGGCACACAGCATCCAGATAAATAAAAATGGCATAGTCTTAAAATGTACAACTTAACTGAAAATACTTTTTTACAGAGTTAATAACAAAACAGTTGAACTCCCCAATAACTTTCTCTAACTTATAGTTGCTCAACAGGTGTTTTCTATTTGTTGTAGATTTTGCCATGAAAGTTATATTTGTTTTATTTATATAGGTCTCCTCCACCTCTAGATACAACTAATCTAGTTCATTTTGGTGGACTCTATATATTATGAGCTAATTTATTTGAAATTTCTTTGAAGAGCACATGAAGTGTTATTCAAAATGTTTTATTTTCTGTCACTGTTTAGAAACATAAGTATTTTATGCTGTAGAGAAATGTTCTAAATTCAGATTCAAATCAGACTTTGTCAAAGTGACCCCAGTTCAATGGCATTTACTCATTTTATTTATATTAAATATTTGATGCATAATGTGAATATGTTCTGAAGTCAATAGGTATTGCAGATGCAAGAATGAGTTTGCTTTTCTGAGTGCCAAGTACTCTTGAACACACTTCTAGGGTTATCATAGCAGAAGTTTGAGAAAATGTGCTTCAATATCTGCACATTGCTGATCGAATTTTTCTAAGCCTTTTGGCTTTCTTGCTTCTAGATTTGCTTGACATACAAAGGAGGACATCTACCTTGCTAGTATATTACCTTCATGGTCTAATAACTTGCATACTCCTAATGAAATAAAATCCTAGGCTGCTAATCTCCTTATGGGCTAGCCCCAGAAAGTGAACCTGGTATATATTTGACTCTATAGCAGGGTCTAATTTTTACTCCTTAAATCATGTGATGAGACTAGCAAGTCAGGCAGTTAACCAAGGATTCAACAGGCTAACCATGCTCTTCATTCATCTCCATGGGCATATGTCTCTCAGAGGGAACATTTTTTTCTGAGATCTAAAATGCTCTGTTAGTTTCCGAATAGCTGCATTAATACCTCTATTATCTCTTGTTCTTTTGAGCATGCAAAACATATCCTGGAGGTCAGGGCCCCTGAAGGGTGACTTTTTGTAAGATAACTGCAGAATCACATGCAGTTACAAGTAGTTTTAAACATCTCTATTTAGATCATATTTGAACAACCCTTAATCTCATTCTAGACCAAAAGTAGTCGAATCCATAAAAAGGTTAAACAGTCATTTAAAATTACATGTAGTAACTGATGTAGGAAAATCCACATGATTCTCCTTAAATTAATAGCAAGTGCCTGCTTCAGATAACTTTGTATAATACCATTCTTTATGACACTATATTTAAATCATTTTTATTAACATGCTTCTAAATGGAACATCACAGTATTACTTACTCGTCATTTCAAAAAATTTATGAATACTCTATTATGCACATAAATTTTCCTGTACCCCAATAAGATGCAAAAAATATAGTAGCACATTATTTTTCTATTGAAGAAAATGTATTAAGGCCATAGCTGAATTCATATCTTTTCAGAATTAGTATGTGAAGATATTACTCATACTTACCTAACAATGGAATAAATATGAGAAAGTGAATCAAATCAGACCAGATCTAAGACTTATCTTTCAGGAATTTTACCAGTTACTTCACTAAAAAGAATTAAAAATCAATTACAGGACCACAAGGAAGCTTGTGTGTAATATATATTATATAATTATGCTTACACTCTCTGATGGAAGGGATTGCATAGACTCTATGTTGATCAGTTCTTAGCTCTAGGACTGAAGCACATATACCACTAGCTTCTAGAGGTTGGCTGGCTACCTTGCTCAAAGTCATGCCTTCTTTTTAGGGGTTGCTGCATCCAATGACTGGCCAGTGCCTAATAAGGTAAAGCCCCTTTGCTTGTCAGAAAGCTAACTCCATTTCAGACTGTGCTTTCCATTGAAGTTGATCTTCAACACCATTCTATACCCAGAGCTGTGCATAGGATAAGGCATAAGGCACATAGTGGATGCCCAGTAAACATTTGCTTAAAGAGGTGCAGTGAATGTAAATTGTACATAGAGTGGTCTTCAGGCTCTGAGTTATTTTCATTTTGACTTTTTCTAAAAATTCATCAAAGATTTCAGATAGGTGATACAATTTGATGTGACAAGATTAATTTTAATCAATATATTTCAGCTTTCCTCCTTTTTGAAGGTTTAGTGACAGTAAGATTTATTCCTTGATTATAATGATATGGGAAAGTTTCAGCACCTGTCACACTCAGGAACATAACAACCAAATATAAAAATATGGTTGACCTTCAGTTTAACTACTATTAGAAGTCAAGATCAAGTTATACTTAATTAAAGGAACAAGTGCTACATGCAATTAATTCCAGATTTGAAGTAATGAGTATTTGAAGAAAATGCTCATTCATTTTCAGGTAGTGAAATTTTAAAGTTTTGAAATTATGGCCAACTTATAATAATAATCACATTAAGTTTGTGGAATAAAAGCATGTTTATGTTTTTTAGAAAAGAATTTACGGGTTGAATATTTATTTTGTAAAATTATTGATGTTTCATAAAACTCCCTGTTTTGGTGTAAATTTTCTTAAATGTAAAAGATGAACCACCAGGTGCAACATGTGTTACTATGAATAAAATGACATTCTCATTCAGCAGGAACAAATACAGCAACTGCAAGGTCTTCTCTTTGGAGGAAACTACATTAGGAAAAGTAAAGGCCCTGTAGAACTACCATGAACTGACGTTGCATAGATATATTAACACATTCTTTAATATTGTGTATTGTGCATAAATGGCGAAAGTTAGAGTTTGGTTTATTTTCCTAACGTTTACAGATGTCTTAAAGTAAATGGTGTTTATCATTGGATATTAAAATAATATACAGGACATTTTATATCAACGATATGCATATGTTTTGCTGTTGCTTTTTTATTATTTTCCTTATATTGCCCACCATCACTCCAAAAATTGTTTCATATCATACCTTTCAGATACAGATAATACTATATCCATCAGCGCAAAGTTATATCTGCAATAGTACAAAACACAAAGCATTTAGTAACTCAAACTTTTTAATTTAGGCAATGTGGAATAATTCCTGGGCTCTTTGTATATTGTGAATTCTGCATGGAGCTTTAATTTAAAGTCTTTTAGCTTGAGATAGAGACTTCTAATATTTTTGCTCATCCAATTCTTCCCTTACTCTAAGTAAAGGATGAGATTACATTTCCAAACTCTTTAAAAATACGTAGAAATGTAACTTCTCAAGCCAATGTATTTTGAGCAGAAGTAATATGCATCATTTCCTTAACAAAGCATGTAGTCAATGACTTAAGACCCCGCAATATTTCTTTTCCTGTTGCATTGCTGAAGACATCACATATTGTAGATAGTGCAGCAGCAGGCTGTGGATCCTCCATCAACCTAGAATTCTGGGGAGCCACGTGGAGGATGGTGTTCCTGGAAAGAATCCCAGGCCCAGAAAAGACAAGTGAAGAATTAATTCTTGTTAAGTCACTAGGATTTTCTGACTGTGGGTTGCCACATCATAATCTATTGTGTTCTGACTTTTGCATTCATGAAAACAACAAACTGGGACTCATGAAGGCATAATATAGGCATAAATAGCCAAATAATCATTAAATATAGGTAACCCATATGATAATGAATTAACCCAACTGATACTCAGTTTTCCTATTTGTAACATACCTGAAATATATGTTATAGGTTGGTGCAAAACTAATTGTGGTTTTCACTATTAAAAGTAATGGCAAAACCACAATTACTTTTGCACTAATTTAATATAAACTCTGTTTATGCTCAAAGGAGTTAATTGGAGTAAATGTGTTCTAGAAAGCTGAGGCAGAAATACTGGTTGATTTGTTGCTATTGCGGAAGTGGTAGAATTAAAGAGAGTGTCGTATATAAAAGACAAACTTTCTCAAACTATTCTAAGAATGAGTTGACTATGAGTAAAAATGTGTTTTGGTAATATTATATGGTATTTGGCTTGATGTCTGATAGGGTTTGGCTGTGTTCCCACCCAAATCTCATTTTGAATTGTAACTGCCACAATTCCCACGTGTTGTGGGAGAAACTCAGTGGGAGGTAATTGAATCACAGGGGTGGATCTTTCCTGTGCTGTCCCCATGATAGTGAATAAGTCTCATGAAATCTGATAGTTTTAAAAATGGGAGTTTCTATGCACAAGCTTTCTCTGTTTACCTGCCACCATCCATGTAGTATGTGACTTGCTCATTCTAGCCTTCCGCCATGATTGTGAGACCTCCCCAGCCACAAGGTGTAAAAGTAATTACACCAACCTAATAACATGTATTTCAGGTATATTACAAATAGGAACACTGGATATCAGATGGGTTAATTCATTATCATATGGGTTACCTTATGATAACCTTATGATAACAATTTAATGATTGTTTGGCTATTTATGCCTGTATTATGCCTTCAGACCACAAGTCTCAGTGTGTTGTTTTCACAAATGCAAAAG